AATGGAGGATGGGTGAAGTGCCCGATGACTGTAGGAGAGCTAACATTGTCCCTATCTTCAAAAAAGAGCAAAAAAGAAGAACTTAGGAGCTACAGAATAGTCAGCATGACATCAATCTCAGGGAAAATTCTGGAGCAGATTATAAAGTGCCCACTCTCCCAGTACCTGGAAAACAATCCAGTCATAACTAGAAGCTAACATGGATTTGTCACAAACAAATACTACCAGACTAGTCTTATCTCATCTTTTGATTGGGTAACCTTTCTGGTAGACAAGTGGGAATGCTGCAGCTGTAATAAATCTTGACTTCAGGAAGAGTATTTTTGTTGACTACAGACCAAGCTTTGTCTGTGTTACTATGCTTGATTCATGGTGAAGAGACATTACAATATCAATGCAAATGAGCACAGCAAGTTGGGCACATACTACTTATGATTTTGCTATTGTTACACTAGTCCAAGCTATACAATACTGTAGATGACAATCTGGCTGTTCAACTGGCTATTTTCACAGCTACCAATGTATAGTTGCACTATAACACAACATGTCAAATCTGCCAAAATTCTTTCTTCTACCCAAGTATAACAGGATACAACTACAAGAACTAAGGTTCTGCAACATACAGATGCTTCTCTGCTCTACATCACTTTTGTTTTCATTTTAAAAAAACTAAGATCAGAATCCGGTTTAGGAAAACTGTTGTGTAATGCCAGTTAGCACTGTACTCACTGTGGACTGCAGTGCACATGCTAAAAAACACCCCTTTCAAGCTATCAGTAAAGAAAAACCAGATGTGCAACAGTTATGCACACAGTAACAATGAACAGGCTTCTGCCCTAAACTAGAGGTTGGTACGCAGCAAACTGATACACTGCATTTTCAACATCTTCATTTCCAAATGTGGGGTCCATGAAGCACCAGAAGCCTTTTTAGAAAACACAGATAGTACAGTCCAGTGCTTTGTTTTGAAGCATGCCCAGCTGATGGTGTGTGTGTAGGTAGGCAGGTAGAGGAGATCTGGAGAATCCTTGGGGCCAGTGGTGGAAAACATCCTGTTTTCACCCCTGCTGGCCAGGCTGCTTCCCAGATTGAAGGGGTTAAGGGGTTGCCCATGATGTTCTCCTTCTCCCTCTCTAGTATTTCTCCAATTATCTCATTTGCCTTCTATGAAGTGAGTACCTTGTTTTGCTTTTTTTTGGGGGGGGGGGCAAACAGGCCACCCACCTTTGATCCATGGCTAAGTCCCATGTTTCTGTGTCTTGCCCGTTTGCCTTCAGTGAAGCAGGTGTGGAAGAAAAAGAAAAATAATTCCAAGGCCTGGTTTTATTTTGGAAATCAGACTCCACCTTTGCCTTGTAGTTAGATTTTGATGGCAAATACTCTTCTTCTGTCTCACTAGTTTGCCTTCTGGGAAACTGTGATCACCTCTCCAAAAAACAAAGTTTTTGTGAATAAATAGCTGCCATGTGGCAGCCCTTTGCACAAATAGCCACAACATCTTCTTGAAGCTCCAGATGTATCCATCCGCTCAACAATTTTGGGGATCCCTGTAACAAAGTTACAGAAGCCTTGATCTGAGAGGTTGGGCCTTCTTGATCTGAAATCTGCCCCGAACAAGCAATAAACACAGATCTCTAGTTGTGCCTAACACAGCTATTTTAGTGTGGTTTAAATGGGACTAGATCAGTAATATTTGGACATGTGCAGCCTTTTTAGAAGGTCTGTGCCAGACATGGGATATTCGTATTCATATTCCTGGGGATAAAATTATGAATATTGGCACCACACATGACTGGGAAAACCGGGCCCTCCCTCCTGAACCAGCAGGCCCAATTACTGCTCATCATGCAGCACACACACTCAGTATCGTTCTTCTGCTAATCTGGGAAGCAGCCCAGCTGGCACTTCCCTGCCTCCTCACACAGCTGCCTGCTCAATAGCTGCGCAAGGAGATCATCCCACCTCCTCATCAGAGTGGTTAGCTGTATGAGGAGGTGCTGGCTGGGCTGCTTCCCAGATGGGCACAACAACAATGCTGGCTGCACCAAGCAGGAAGTGGACATGCTGGTTCAGGGGGGAAAGTCCCATTTTCCCAGGCACCTGTGGTGCCATTATTTGCATCCCCATGGATACAAATACAATATCCCATGCCTCGTCTCTTACCTTCCCACCTCATTCTTCAGGGACATGATGCAGTCTCATCTTTCCCATATAGGGATGTTGTGATTTCAAGATGGCAATTTCAGTATCCCCTAGTAACACTTGTGGGTGTTTCAGACATATTATCAACTTTGGTTCGGCATCACGTGAATAAGCTTTGTTAATACATACTCTGACTTCCTTCTTCTATCTTCCCAATAGGTCAGTGATAAGTTTGATGGGGCCTCAGGCAAAGTGACCACTCTCCTGCATTGTCCTCTAAGGAATTCAAAATGGAGATGATGGGTGCTTGACAGCACTTCTCCTCTGACTGCTGGCATTGGCTAATGAATGCTAGGGCCCAAGTGCATTCTGGGCCAACAGTTGTGGTAACAGCATTTGTTTTGTCAGTACCTCTGATACAAGCAGATACTGCAAATAAGGAAGACTTCAAAAACGGACGGCGGTGTCAAACCCTTATGGAGCCTGGCATTTATACCACTATGTTGGAAAATGGACATGCCTCCTCACATAACCTGATTTTCCTTCTCATTTCATGGCAAACCAGGAAGGGCAGCATGGTTTACTACCAAAGCAAAAATAAAGAAGACATCAAGAAAAAGACTGAAAGGAGCAAGTAAGCATAAGGTCTTCTCTGCGAGAGAGAACCTATCTGTTGGTGCTGCATTTGAACCAATTCCTACAGTACCACTTGAAATGCAGGAAGGGAAAACGAAGAAACCAGAAGGTACTTCTACTGCATTCTTAGCACAGCCTACTGTGTTAAGTCTATTTACCTTCTGTAATTCAAACTGCAATGCTTATTATCTGGAGCAAGTAAGCATAAGGTCTTCTCTGCGAGAGAGAACCTATCTGTTGGTGCTGCATTTGAACCAATTCCTACAGTACCACTTGAAATGCAGGAAGGGAAAACGAAGAAACCAGAAGGTACTTCTACTGCATTCTTAGCACAGCCTACTGTGTTAAGTCTATTTACCTTCTGTAATTCAAACTGCAATGCTTATTATCTGGTGTGAAAAAATGCTCCAACTACCGTACAATTGCACTAATTTCACACGCTAGCAAGGTTATGTTCAAAATCCTAAAAGGTAGGCTTCAGTAGTATGTGGACCGAGAACTCCCAGAAGTACAAGCTGGATTTTGAAGGGGCAGAGGAACTAGAAACCAAATTGCTCACATGCACTGGATTATGGAGAAAGCCAGAGAGTTCCAGAAAAACATCTGCTTCATTGACTATGCAAAAGCCTTTGACTGTGTGGACCACAGCAAACGATGGCAAGTCCTTAAAGAAATGGGAGTGCCTGATCACCTTATCTATCTCCTGATAAATCTATATGTGGGACAGGAAGCAACAGTTAGAACTGGAACAACTGATTGGTTCAAAATTGGGAAAGGAATACGACAAGTCTGTATATCGTCTTCCTGCTTATTTAATTTGCAGAATACATCACGTGAAAGGCTGGACTGGAGGAATCCCAAACTGGAATTAAGATTGCCGGAAGAAATATCAAGAACCTCAGATATGCAGATGATACCACTCTGATGGCAGAAACTGAGGAAGAATAAAAGAACCTCTTAATGAGAGTGAAAGAGGGGAGCGCAAAAAACAGTCTGAAGCTCAACATCAAAACAACAACAACAACTAAGATCATGGCCACTGGTCCCATCACCTCCTGGCAAATAGAAGGGGAAGAGATGGAGGCAATGACAGAGTTTACCTTCTTGGGCTCCATAATCACAGCAGATGGTGACGGCAGCCACAAAATTAAAAGACGGCTGCTTCTTGGGAGGAAAGTGATGACAAACATAGATAGCATCTTAAAAAGCAGAGACATCACCTTGCTGACAAAGGTCTGCATAATCAAAGCTATGTTTTTTCCAGTAGTGATGTATGGAAGGGAGAGCTGGACCATAAAGCAGGCTGACCACCAAAGAACTGATGCTTTTGAATTGTGTTGCTGGAGGAGTCCCCTGGACTGCAAGGAGAACAAACCTATCCATTCTAAAGGAAATCAACCCTGAGCGCTCACTGGAAGGACAGATCCTGAAGGTGAGGCTCCAATACTTTGGCCATCTCATGAGAAGAGAAGACTCCCTGGAAAAGACCCTGATGTTGGGAAAGTGTGAAGGCAGGAGAAGGAGACAACAGAGGATGAGATGGATGGACAGTGTCATCAAAGCTACCAAAATGAATTTGACCAAACTCCAGGAGGCAGTGGAAGACAGGAGGGCCTGCCGTGCTCTGGTCCATGGGGTCACAAAGAGTCGGACATGACTTAATGACTAAACAACAACAACATGCTTATTATCAGGAATAATGGCTTACCCATTTATGACAGTCAACAAGCTGGAAGGTGATCCTTAACACTTGTGTATTTTGATTTGAAAACAAATCACTGTCTCAGTGCTGCAGAAATACACATCCCCTGAAGCTACAGCATAATGCAACGTCACTTGAATCCCAGCACTAATGGCACCTCTTTCAAACATTTTATCATTCAAGAGGAACACATCTGTCCGTGAATGGACTTCTCAATGCTTCAGTATTCCACTATATTTGGAAACAGAGCAGGCAGGTAGAAGCTTCTCTTCTGAAAAGTCACTTTCAAGGTAATCCAGAGGCTGGTAAGGAATAATACTTGATTTAGTCTTGATGGGCTGGCTGGAGAGCTCAATGGGTTAGGTATCTGGCTGAAGAGCCAGAGCTTGGGAGTTTCATTCCTACTGTGCCTCCTGGGACAAGAGCCAGCCTGTGTGGCCTTGGGCAAGCTTCACAGTCCCAGAATGTCTACAGTGGAAGGGAATGGTAAGCTGCTCTTGAGTACTCTCCACCTAGACAACCCTGAAAAGGGTTACCGTAAGTCAGATTTGATTTGATGGCACACAATTAAAAATTAAATTAGTCTTCATGTTCCATACTAGGAACATGAACAAGAACACAAATACCCCTGTAGCTTATTTTCATAGGTGTCAGTAAAAGTGCCTTTCCGCTTCCCTTCTGTGATTCATGCACAACTGTGAATGACTTGAATGTGGATCTGAATATTCAAAGTTTCAGCTTTGCATGCAACTAAGGGTTATGCAGGAAAGTATTTCAACCCTCTTCTGCTATCACCAGTGAACAGTAAAAATACTCCATTCTCAACCAAATCACTGGTTTTCTCCAGTATCATAAGTACAAAGCTGTCTATAAATGCCAAAAATTAGGCTCTTTGTGTGTCCTTTCCTGTACTTAAGTGAAGTGGACTGAGGGGCTTTGAAAACAGCTTTCAGTTGTGCGTGTACAGGTGAGTCAACTGGAGATGTCCTGGGTGATCAGAGTGAGGTTCAAGATACATCTTGTGTGAAAAACCTCCTCTCTCCATTTGTAATTAACTTTCCTACGAGGGACAACTTCACCAGCTCCCCTTCTTTCCACCTTTATTTGTTCCCATTCTCTTTTCCTCAATACAAACACTTTCAATGAACTTTAGACTTGGTAAGAAGGACTTTGAACCAACTACCTGATTTTACTTTTCAAAAGTAGATGTGAATTGAAATCAACCATAGGGGAAGGCCTTTGAGGTGTGAGAAGTTTGTATAGCAAAGGAATGCAAGAACTGGCTGACCCTTAATCTCATGATTATTACTAATCAGCTGTGTTATGTAACAAATCACTAACATCTGTAAACTCAGCTTCCCTTTTTTATCCCCTGGGAGATCCTGGAAGCAAAGTTTTCTGAGCCCCATTAATACCTCAATGAAAGCAGGCTTCAGACCAAGACACAACTCTGAAACACCATTTCTTCTTGAAGCCATGCTTCCTTCTAATAAAAGAGACAGGGCCTTCATGAATCCTGGTGAACCATCATATTTCTGGACTGAATTCTTGAAGAAACGAGGGCTGCTGAGAAGAAGAAAAATATGTCTGTCCATTGTGAACCCATAAATAATCATCTTAGGATATTCTCATTTTTTTGGTTAAAAAACCCACAACAACCCAAAGAAGGTAGAAAACACTCACACAACCGTTTCATTTATGAAGTTCTGAGCCACCAAGGAAGTATGTTACTCATTTGATTCATGAGTTAGCAAAAGGTTGCGCTCACCTTCCAGTGTCAATGAAATGAACACACGTAGCTGATGAAGAAATTGCATCCAGGCAAACATGTCTGTTGCTATTGCTTTTCAAGATCATCCCAGAATGGAGTGTACAAAACTTCACAACATTTTCTGGACGCGTACGTATGGGTACTTGTGTTTGTGTACATGTATATATGGGTATGGTTGTGTACACAACGGGACCAAATCTTACAGAACGGACTCTGTTTCTTCCCCTCCCTGCTACTGCCCTTTGGTTCAGTGGAAGGTCTTTCAATCCTCTCTTTTCAGGATTTCACCTCTTCACAGTCTTGATCAGTGGAAAGTTCCACATCAGAGAGTCCAACTTCCATTGCCATAATCAATGAAATATCCGAATCGCTACTGACCGCTGGCTCCTGTTCACCTGAAAGACAAAAAACATCATTGAAACCAACTTCACACAGTTAAAAAAAACTGCACAAAACATTATTTCCAAATCCCAATGTTGCTTTTATGGGCTGATTTTAATAAGAAAAGTTGCCTTGCATTAAAGGAGGCCACGGATTCATTCACAGACTGTGCCATGAGTCCTTGTTGTTTAAGAACACACAGCATGTTCTCTTTCACCTTCTGATGGCCCATTCTGGCAATGCATGTGAAAATATTTTTTTCTGGCCTTTTTTCTTTTATCACACTATGTATAACATTCACTATTATCCACAGTTTTCAGTATTCGGGGGGGGGGCTTGGAACTGATCCCCTGCAGATATAGGGGTCATACTGCATTTTTGACTCGATTTAGAATTGGTAAAAGAAGAAGAAATGTGAAAGTTACTGCTATTAAGAAGGGTTGAAAGAGCTTCCTTGTCTATGACTACACAATATAGCAAAATTGTCACTATGTCAGCAAGAAGGAACACTACTTGAAAAACTACTGTGCATGCATAGTACAATTACATTGCAGGATGCCCTATGCCATGGAACAAAGCAGACCATTTCCGAGGTTAGCAGGGAGCATGCAGATATTGTGTTGGAACATAAAGACATAGTCTAGTTAAGCAGTTCCCATTACTATAACAGCATCCAACAAATGTGGCTGTTATGTACTGGTAAGCCATCCCTCAGCTTTGACAACTGTAATAGGGTTGTCAAGATTTGTGAGTTGTTCAAAGAGTGGATTTTACTGGTGCTATCCCTGAGTGGGTTTTCATGACCAACTGGAGATCTGAACGCAAGTCTCCTGAGTCTTAGTTTGTTACTCTATCCATTAAACCTCACTGGTTCTCTTTCACCCATCAAATACCCTTTGGAAAACGAATCCAACTAATATCAAATGGGTATGATAGTAAAATAACGTAGGCACAGTCTAATGTATATAGCAAAATGTCTGAAGATAAAGTTGTACAGGCCTATGAAGTGAACATGATTAAAGACCATAATTGGCTCTTCCGCTCCCTGTTGTGATATCATCGATCTGCTCTCTGGACAGTACCAGTGATAGGTGCTTTGAAAACTCATTAACGGATTTTTCTAATCCATCATTCAAGACAATTCTGTGATCAACTGAGACTCCTATGCCAACTCATCTCTATTATGCAAGCCTAGAAGAAGGGCAACATCTTAAAAAGAGGGGAAAAACAAGCATGTCACAAGAACAGAACTGGCTGAGAACAACCAATATGACAGAACCTACCAGTATAAAATGTCTCAGGGAGGCTTTCAATATTTGAAGAAAGAGGCAAAGGCAGATGTGGAAGGTGTTGCTCTTTATCACATGGGAGATGATGGTGTTCCTTGCATATCCATTACACTGGAAGGACTAGATAAAGTACAGTAGCCTCTCATAACCCTTTTATCCACTGCTTCTCAGACTTCAGAAAGGTTGAGCTGGGATTGTGTAGCTTATTTTTAAAAAGGCATCTTGTCTGGCAGGGAATTGTATAATTCAGACAGCATCATGGGTCAGTTCAACCGAGTAGAAAGAGGGCAAAATTACATATCACCGGAAACTTTGTGATTCCTTCCTTCAAAGTTCTTTTTTTAAAAAAATATAAAAATTAAAATGAGCAAACAAACGAAGACAACCTGGTTACACAGGAAGTTTGAGTGTGTGTGGGGGAAGGGTACGGAGTCCACTTAATCCTTTCTTTTCCAGTCTTTTTCTAGCTCAGAATCACTAATCTTTTTCAAATATGCAACGGGTTGGAAATAAAGACTACCTAAGGCCTTTGGCCATCTCATGAGAAGACAAGACTCCTTGGAAAATACCTTGATGTTAGGAAAGTGTGATGGCAAGAGGAGAAGGGGATGACAGAGGATGAGATGGCTGGACAGTGTCTGTGAAGCAACCAACATGAATTTGACACAACTACGGGAGGCAGTGGAAGGGCCTGGCATGCTCTGGTCCATGGGGTCACAAAGAGTCGGACACGACTAAACGACTAAATGACGACAAAGGCCTTGCTACATAGTGAAAGAATATCTCTGGGATGCTGACTTCGGCCTGGAAAGCAATAGTTAAGCAGCCTCTTCTGCTTATTCTCCTTTCAAAACTACACACTGTCCAATTTTTGGATCCACTTTTTTTCTTTTGCAAAGGAAATATTTATGAAACTTTCTTGGACTTTCAGCAAAAGTTCCGGAAATGAGCTTCAATCTCATCTAGCAGAAAAATAAGTGAAAAAGTATGTACTGTATTGAAAATTTGGAAGGAAATAGAAATCTTGAGTTTCCCTCTCAGTTATGTTTTCATGTATCTTGCTGTTCAACTCTTGGTTCAGAAAGCAGATTGGTAAAAATTGAAAGACTGCAGTTTAAGAGGAAAGTACTGTACTCAAATTATATCCACAATCACTGGCAATGGATTAAAAAAATCACTATCACATGTTAACCACTCTTTTTTGTATTTGTGATCAGGACAATCAAAACTATATTTCTATGAACATATATGCACAAAGTAATACAATGAACTTTATGACATTAAAAAAAAATAGGCACGGGGATTAGAGATGGCATGAATTAAAAAATCAGTCACCAAATGTATTTAAAAAATCACTAATTTGTCAATTCATATCCATATAATCAATGCCTGATTAATCATGAATCAATGAATTTTTAGCAATGTTTTATTTGTTTGGCTATAAAACAGCCCTCAAGGCACCTAGAGATCCCACATTTACAGGGAAGCCACCTCTGACTCTCCTCTACAATTCCATGTGTGGTGAAGATTGGGTTTCAGATGTCCATGTTATACAACCACAACTACCCCCCCCCAGAAAGTTGTCCCCAGGCACCTAGAGACACCAACATCACAAAGAAGCTTCTCCTCTACAGACCCTCAAAGTCTGGTAAAGATAGGGTTTCTGCAAGCCAGCTGCTAAAGGGCACTATCTTGGGGAGATACACTTTGTGTGTGTATAACTTGGATGTTTGAAACCTAATCTTTACCAAACACAAATGGTTTGTAGAGGAGTGTTAGAGGACACTTCCCTGCAAATATGGTGTCTCTATATGCTTCGGGGGGCATTTTATAGGGTTCTTAAATTAAAAAAAATCAATTGATACATTGGTTGCTGTGGGTTTTTCGGACTCTTCGGCCGTGTTCTGAAGGTTCAGAACACGGCCAAAGAGACCGAAAAACCCATAGCAACCATTAGATCCCAGCCGTGAAAGCCTTCACGAATAAACTGATACACTGATTCATCAGAAAAAATACAAATTTGTAATTTGTTATTCGTCAACGTTGACGAATCATGAATCAAAATGAATAACCATTTATCTGATTCGCGCTCATGTCTAACGAGGATCTTTAATGAAACATGCAAGCTCCCATTCTCTCTCAAATAATGTTCCCTGTTGCAGTCGAAAATGTAGGTTAAGGAAGAAGGGAGGAGGCTAGTGGGGGAAATGGATCACTCTCTGTAGAAAGATGCTTCTCAGTCACCTGTCATGGCTTTGGTAGCCAGAGGACAGAATCCTATTGCAAAATATTTCACATACAAGGAAAATTGTGCAAGCTGTTTTTGCAGTTTTCTATCTGTTCTAACAACCAAGTGTGCAATTAAGCAAGAAATAGACAACCAGAATGAACATTTACACTAATTATGCAATTTTTGGGTTTATGCTATATAAACCCGACAAGATTTTTGCCACTGGTTTTTTTTCCAGATCAAAACATTAAATTGTCATAACATTTTTAATTATCATAATTTAGAATTACAGAGATGGAAGGGAGCCTATGGATCATTTAAAAATGATATGAAGAGCATTTAAAGTCTATATAAAGGTGCAACTTCACAACAGGAAAAATGTGAAATGATCTGCTGTGAAGTTGTACTCAGAACGTTGCTTTAAATGCAGTCTAGCAGATCACACTGCAGTCAGCAGAGAGAGCAGAGGAAATTGCTAATCTGTACTGTACTTTTTAGCACCTTATTAAGATAGCTGTACTGCAGCTGTTCAGATTTACAGGAGGCATGGCTACAGCAGAGCTACCTTAACAAGCTGCAAACGATTTCCTCCTTTGCCAAATTCCTCCTCATTTGCTTTCCACCCCAACCCCTTCTAGAATCTTTATCCCAAGAGCTGGCACCAAGCCTTAAAAGAAAACCTCAGAAAATTGTTTACAGATAAAGGAGTGCTTGGTTGAGGAAAACTGATACCCCCAAGAGTTTCTCTTTGTTTTCTCTCTCTCCACTTTAAACTAGAAAGCTAGAGTGTCAGCTTCTGATTGCCCATTGTATCAGCTCAAATAGTCAAACCACCAGAACATATGCAAATATATTCAACAGGGGGGGGGGAGTAGAAGCCACAGCAGCAGAGGAATATAGTATGGATTGGAAGGAAAAACTCTTTGTTGATTTGCCTTGACTTATATGTTGTGTAGTCAATGGAAAATAATGCAAAACTGACTATCTCAATTCCAGAGAATTTCCTGCATGATTTGTCAATACAGTCACCATGTAAGACAGTTTAATATAAGAAAATGAACAGAGGGCAGTAAACCAGAACCCAGTTTGGTCCCTAAAATTATGAACAACCCAAATGTAAACTAAGATAAGTAAATGTATTAGCAATGGCAAGTGGCCAAAATACAGCCCAAACCTCCTTAAAGTATTATAAAAGGACGAAGAGAAAGGTGAAAATAGAGTAACTAAACAAGATGATCTATCTGTAAGGCGATTAAATGATGGTTTTGAATACAGAGGTCAATTTTAAGAAATTCTATACACTGTCCAAAGACAATGGGCCCAATTCTCCAAAGGAGTAACAGTTCTGTGCTAGTGCAGTGTTTCCTATCAAATCAAGTCACACCTACTACTATAAAATGTCTGATGTCTGACAGAGTTTGAAACCAGCTACCCCTGTTTGTTGCTTTACAAGACCAAGATTCTGTCTGTGTGAAATATGGCTAAGGCACAATTT